AATTGTAAACGGCGTCATCTCCTGCAGCCGCAGCAGCAGCAGGCGCAGCAGCAGGTGCAGCAGCAGCAGCAGCAGCAGCAGCAGCAACGGCAGCGGCACCACCAGCAGCAGAAGCAGCAACATCCGAAGCTGCATCAGCCGCTGCAGCAGCAGCGCAACACCCTGACGCTGACACCGCCGCCTCTCCACCTCAAACCCTAAACCCTAAACCCTAAACCCTGCATACTTTGTTTCTTTTGCTTCTCATGTTAACTGTGAGTTTATCAAGAAGTTTAAGGTCTTCTACTAAGTCGCTCCACGTCGTTTTGCTGCTGTGCTGCGGCACTGCAGCAGCAGCGTCCCCCATAGAAAGCAGCTCGCAGCAGCAGCAGCACTCCCCGAACTGCTGCTGCTGCTGCTGCTGATCTGTGTTTGTGTCAGGCTGCTGCAAGTCTTCGGATGGTGCTGCTGGATGTGCTTCTGTTGCTGCTGCTGCTTCTGCTGCTGGTGTTGCTGCTGCTGCTTCTGCTGCTGGTGTTGCTGCTTCTGTTGCTGCTGCTGCATCTTCTATTTTGTCTCCCCATGGGTCTGATGCGTCATGGTGCTGCCAGTCTCCTTGCATTTGCTGCTGCTGCTGCAGCATCTGCTGCTGCTGCTGCTTGCTGCGGTTAGTCTTGCCGGTGCAGCAGCTGCAGCGCAGCAGCGCATTGCCCCAAGTTGCTGTCCCTTTAACTTCTGCTGCTACTGGCGGTCTCTTGTCCTCAGGAAGTCCCCTGTCGTCTATAATCTCTTGCACCTGCAGCAGCAGCAGCAGCAGCAGCAGCAGCAAGAACAGCAGCAGCAGCAGCACAAGGTATCGTGCAAATGCAGCTGCCAGTAGGTGAAGACAGCCAACTAACAAAATGCTGCAGCAGTAGCAGCAGTAGTAGCAGCAGCAGCAGCAGCACTGGCAGCAGCAGCAGCACTGGCAGCAGCAGCAGCTGCTGCTGCTAAACCCTCCCCGTACCTCGTCGTAAGAAAAGCGGCAGCAGGATTCAATAACCTGAACATCAAACCCCGAACCCTAAACCCTAAACCCTAAACCCTAAACCCCAAACCCTAAACCCTAGAATCGCGGCGCCGTGTCTCCTGTGTGTTGAGGGGCTCCGAATGAGAGTATAGGGTTTAGGCAGGGCCACTGGATAGCCCCTAGGGTTTAGGGTTTAGGGTTTAGGGTAAGGACAGAGCTACTGGCTAGGGTTTAGAGTTTAGACAGAGCTACTGGTTCGGGTTTAGGGTTTAGGGTTTAGGGTTTACAGATTTAAAAAATAAGGGTTTAAAGCGTTTGTTGATTGTGCCGTCTTCAAAAACGCGAGCAATAACCGAAAACGTCAGCTTAGGGCCCCCAGGATGCAGACTGTACGCAAACCCTAAACCCTAAACCCTAAACCCTAAACCCTAAACCCTAAACCCTAAACTCAAACCTACAAAACCCTAAGCATGATGTAGGCGTACGTCTACGGCCCGAAACGTCAGTTTATCAAAGTGTACACAGACTGCAAGGAGCGCTGTGCTTAGGGTGTAGGGTTTAGGGTTTAGGGTTTAGGGTTTGCATGCCTGCAGACGTTGTCGGCCAGAGCGCGAGGAAGCATCGGGAAGCACATGTGAGGCAAATAGCTGCGCAGCAAAAACAAAACAATATCTAGGGTTTAGGGTTTAGGGTTTGGGCGGCAATCAGACAACGAGGGTTTATGAGAGAGAGACAGACAAGAGACACGCAGATACAGAGGGACAACACACAGCATAAACCCTAAACCCTAAACCCTAAACCCTAAACTCTAAACCCCCAAGCCAAAGGCAGAAGAGGCGACAAGTCGCATAAACAAAACAAAAAAACAAACATAATCATTATCAATACCAGAAGCAGCATCAACAGCAGCAACAGCAGCAGCAACAGCAGCAGCAACAGCAGAAGCATCATCACCATCATCAGCAGCAGCAGCAGGATCATCGAAAGCACGATCAGCAGCAGCATCAGCGTTAGCAGCATCAGCAGAAGCAGCAGCAGCAGCAGCAACAGCAGCAACAGCAGCAGCAGCACGTACAGTGTAGCGCATCTATTTTGTGCTTCTTTATCGACGCGTGAGTTTGGTTGAATGAACTTCGAGACATCTGCGATATGAATTCCAACTTCGTATTCTGCTGCTGCTGCTCCTGCTGCTCCTGCTGCTCCTGCTGCTCCTGCTGCTGCTGCAGCAAGGGGACAGTTGGCTTTGTGAGTAATGCGGTGTATGTGCACCGCATCATCTAAGTCGCGAGCTGAAGGAGGGTCGATGGTAAATACCCGACGCAGCCCTAAAGCAGCAGCAGCAGCAGCAGCAGCAGCAAAGTATAAGCACCAGAAGCACTAGGAGCAGCAGCAGCGGGAGACACAGTATGAGCAGCAGACGCAGTAGTAGCAGCAGCAGCAACAGCAACAGCAGTGGAGGAAACAGCAATAGCAGATGCAGCAGCGCGCGGAGCAGCAGCAGCACTAAAAGAGTTCCCAGAATAAGCAGCAGTAGCAGCATCACGAAAGGTAACAGCAGTAGCAGCAGCACTAGCAGCAGCAGCAGCTGCTGCTGCTGCAGCTGCAGCAGCTCCTTACCCCTCAAGTCGACCCTCCGACGAATTTCTTCATCTGCAGCAAACACCAAATCCCCACTCAAATAGCATCCAGCAGCAGCAGTGGCAGCGACAGCAGCAGCAGCAGCAGCAGCAGCAGTGGCAGCAGCAGCAACAGCGGCAGCAGCAGCAGAAGGATGTTACCTAGTTCGTGTCTCACTGCAGCAACAACAGATGCTGCTTCTGCCTCTGTCTCCGGGTTTTGCGGCTGCGCGTGGCTGACGAGGTCTCCAGCAATCAAAACACACTGCAGCACAAACCCTAAACCCTAAACCCTAAACCCTAAACACAAGCCCTAGACCCGAAAACCTTAAACACAAACCCTAAACCCTAAACCCTAGATGCTAAACACAAACCCTAAACGACTGACCCCGCTCATAAGATCTATGGGCGGCATCACACCTACTCCCTGCCTTTTCGGCGTATTAGGGTTTAGGGTTTAGGGTTTAGGGTTTTTGACTCGCCATAAGCTCGCTCCCCAGCTCGCCGCTCGTCCCAATCAACCCGAGTATTTCTCCTGTTTGGAGCAGCAGCAGCAGCAGCAACAACAGCAGCAGCAGCAACAATATCAGCAGCAACACCAGCACCAACAACAATAGCAGCAGCAGCAGCAAACGAAGCAGCAACAGCAGCAGCAGCTGTATCAGCAGACGGGGACTAACGCATATCAGTTGCTGCACGCTGTGGTTGCCGCCTAAGGCCTAGGGTTTACGGTTTAGGGTTTAGGGTTTAGGGTTTAGGGTTTAGGGTTTAGGTACCTCTAGGGAGAGGGTGTTTAGGAGCCCAAGAGGATATATTAATCAAGAAGAGACGGGAGCAGCTCTCGAGCTCTGCGGTGTCTGTCCACCTCTCTACTTCACTCAGCGATAACAAAACCCAAGGCTTACGACGATCTAAACGCAAAACCCTAAACCCTAAACCCTAAACCCTAAACCCTAAACAAGAAACCCTAAACAAGAAACCCTAAATAAGAAACACTAAATAAGAAACACTAAATAAGAAACACTAAATAAGAAACACTAAATAAGAAACACTAAACCCTAAACCCTAAACCCTAGAGAGGCAAAGAGTTGCTAAGGGCCAGCGGTGGAGACTAAACAGATGCGGAGGAAAAAAAGAGACAAAAGGAGACAGCCAGAAAAGATAAAGGAGACAAAAAGAGACAAAAAGACACAAAAAGAGACAAAAGGAGACAAAAGGAGACAAAAGGAGACAAAAGGGAGATTAAAAGGGAGATTAAAAGAGATAAACAGAGACAAAGGGAGACAAAAGGAGACAAAAGGAGACAATAAGAGACAGTAAGAGACAAAAGGAGACACAAAAGGAGACAAAAGGAGACACAAGGAGACACTTGCCTATCGGCTCGGCTCGAACGAAATTCTCCGCAGCAGTCTAAAAAAAACAAAAAAAATAAAAAACAAATAAAACTAAAATTAAAATTAAGTTAAAATTAAAAGGCAAACTAAAACAAACGCAAATAAAAAATAAACAACAATTAAAAGGCGATAAACAAACAGCGAAACACAAACAAAAACAAACAACCAAGTAAAAATAAATTAAAAGGCAAAGACAAAACAATAAATAAAAATAAAAATAAATAAAAATAAAAATAAATTTAAGAATCGCAGCAAACATAAACAAATAAAAACTAAAAACCCTAAACCCTAAACCCTAAACCCTAAAACCCTAAACCCTAAACCCTAAAACCCTAAACCCTAAACCAAACATTAAAAAAATTAAAAACGCCGGAGAGAGGATTAAGAGACAAAACACAAATAAATATATAAAGCAGCAAAAAGACAAAAAGAGACAGCAGCAGCAGCAGCAGCAGCAGCTTCAGCATATCGAAGACAGCAAAACGAGGAGACAGACACCACGCGAGAGACAAAAGGATGCATAAGCCAAGCCCTCTGTTTGCTGCAGCAGCAGCAGCAGCAGCAGCAAGTGCAGCAGCAGCCAATAAAGCGACAATAGCAGCGGCAAGTATAACAGCAGCAGCAGCACCGCAGCAGCAACAACAACAGCAGCAGCAGGAGCATCAGCAGCAACAGCAGCAGCAGCGGCAAGAGCAGCAGCAGCAGCAGCAAGAGCAGCAGCAGCAGCAACAGCAGCAGCAAACGAACTCCAGTGTTTCTTCGGAGTCTGCAAACAAATTGTCTGTGTGCGCGTAAATTGTTTAATATTTCCACAGCCCTCTCTTCTTGCTCCTTCACCATTTGCTGCCTCTCCTGCTGCCGCTGCTGCCGCCGCTGCTCTTCGTCCTGTTGTTGTTGCTGCTGCTGCTGCTCTTGCTGCTGCTCCTGCTGCTGTTGTTCCTGTTGCTGCTGCTGGTGCTGCTCATGGTTTGGCGGCTGCTGCTGCTGCGCTCGCTCCCCCTCCTGCTGCTGGTGGCTTTCTTGAATGTGATTCTGCTGCGGCTGCTGCTGCTCCTGCTGCTGCTCCTGCTGCGAGGCTGCAGCACACTCTGCGCCTTGCCTCAGCGCCAGCAGCAACTCTGCTTTTCTTCTATCGCTTAGAAATTCGCTTGCTACAAATATCACACGCCCGGCTCGACGGAGCTCCACATCTGCAGCAGCAGCAGCAGCAGTAGCAGCAGCAGTAGCAGCAGCAGCAGCAGGGATGCTTTAAGATGGACGTTGGTTTTACACGGACGCAAGCCAGCAGCAGTAGCAGCAGCAGCAGCAGCAACAGCAGCAACTGCAGCAGCAGCAAGGAGGAAAAGTTGCGGACGCGCGACAGCAGCAGCAGCATCAGCAACGCCGTCAACACAATCAACAATCGCAGCAAGAGCAACAGCAGCAGCAGCAGCAGCAACAGCAATAACAGCCTGCCTGTCTTTGCTGCTCCCTCAGCATTCACGGGGAGACAATTGTCTTCATCACTTCCGCTCAGAGGCACCCACTGGTCCGGAGGAAGCAGCTGCAGCAGCAGCAGCAGCAGCAGAAGCAGCAGCAGCAGCAAGCGGAGCAACACCACGATGCCAAACGCTGCAGCGCTCGCGACAATCGCCGCCCCACATCTCCCCTGTAGTCCTTGCAACAGCAGCAGCAGCAGGAACAGCAGCAGCAGCAGCGGAGACAGCAGCAGCGACAGCAGCAACAACGGATGCTGCAGCAGCAGCAGCAGCAGCAGCAGGGAGCAGGTGGCTTACCTCCACCTGCACGAAGTCTTCGTGGACAGCGCGCCCCCTGTTTTGTCTCCCTGCAGCAGCAACCAAAGCATACATGTACATTAGCAGCAGCAGCAGCAGCAGCAAGAACTGCAGCAGCTGGAGCAGCAGCAGCAACGCCAGCAGCGGCAGCAGCAGCAGCAGCAGCCATTCCAAGACACGCGCATACACTACAAACGTTCAGCCCGACGCATGCAGAGGCCTGACCCCGCGACAGCAGCAAGTGCAGCAGCAGCAGCAGCGTCAGCAGCAGAAGCAGCATCAGCAGCAGCAGCAGCAACAGCAGCAGCAGCAGCAAACCCTTGATAATGATGTCAGGCAGGCCGTCTTTGGTTGCTACGAAGGCATCATCCGGAAACTTCCGATTCACGTTTAGGCGGCCCTGCACATTACACCCCACACAAGGGTTTAGGGTTTAGGGTTTAGGGTTTAGGGTTTAGGGTTTAGGGCAGGGGGCTCACCCACAGACAACCCGGCCGGCTGTTCCTTTCCACCTGGTCTCTTAAGGCCTCAGGAATGCTTTGCTGCTGCTGCTGCTGCTGCTGCTGCTGCTGCTGCTGCTGTTGGTCGAAGTACTGCTGCTGTTGGCGTGCTTGCTGCTGCTGCCGCTGGTGCTGCTGCTGGTGCTGGTGCTGCTGCTGCTGCTGCTGCTGCTGCCATGGTTGCTGCTGTTGTCGGCGTTCCCGCTGCTGTGGCCGCCGCGCTCGGTTATGTCCTTGCGTCTGCTGCTGCTGCTCTTGTTTTTGCTGCTGCTGCTGTGGCTGCTGTTGGGGTTGTTGGTGTCGCGGGTGGTGCTGCTGCTGCTGCTGCGGCTGTCGTTGTCGCTGCTGCTGTGGCTGCTGTTGCTGCTGCTGCTGCTCCAATTTTGGCCGCCGTGGGCGCCGCTGTCGTTCTTGCTGCTGCTGCTGCAGCTCGTGCTGCTGCTGCTGCTCTTGCTGCTGGTGGTCTTGCTGCTGGTGATCTTGCTGCTGATGGTCTTCCTGCTGCTGCTCTTGCTGCTGCTGCTGCTCTTGCTGCCGAGCTTGCTGCTGGCTCGGCCGCCGTTGCCTCATGTACTGCTGCTGCTGGCGTTGTGGGTGCTGCTGCTGCTGATGCTGAGGGCGTTGCTGCTGTTGCTGCCGAGGGCGTAGCAGCTGCTGTTGCTGCTGCTGATGGCGTTGCTGCTGCTGCCTGGGCTGTTGCTGCGCGTGTGGGGATTGTTGGTGTTGCTGCGGCGGTTGCGGCAGGAGCGGCTGCTGCTGCTGCAGTTGTTGCTGCTCTGGTTGCTGCTGCTGTTGTCGCTCCTGCTGCTGCTGCTGCTGCTGCTGCTGCTGCTCAGTGGAGGGAGCGTCGTTAGTATGGAGGTTCGGGTCCTTTGGCCCCTCGTTGACTGCCATCCTCTAGACAGGACAGGGGCCCTTGAGGGTTTAGGGTTTAGGGTTTAGGGTTTAGGGTTTAGGGTTTGGATCCAGCATGTGTGTGTACAGCCGACAGCAGCAGTGCAGCTGCTGCACGGATTAGTGGTGGAAGGCTTCTCATGCACGAATTGCTAGGGTTTTACTCTCTAAATTAGGGTTTAGGGTTTAGGGTTCAGGGTCTAGGGTTTAGGGTTTAGGGTTTAGGGTTTAGGGTTTGGAGGTTCGTGGGGTGACCATCTGCAGCCAGCTGCTGCTCAGGTCGGCGGGCCCATTAGAGTAGAAGATCTTAGCTCTTTTAGGGTTTAGGGTTTAGGGTTTAGGGTTTAAAAGGATTAAGTATTGAATCTTCCGGGTTAACGGTCAGGTGTTTAGGGTTTAGGGTTTAGGGTTGCTGCTTGATGCAGCTATTTTGGGTGGGGGGTTTAGGGTTTAGCGAGTAGTTCTTGAATTTAGGGTTTAGGGTTTGCAAGGGAAGGACTAGGGTTTAGGGTTTAATGTTATCTACTTAGGGTTTAGGGTTTTGCTGGAGTGTGTGGCTTCCTACCCTTAGACTTAACAACATCTAGGGTTTAGGGTTTAGCTTCTACGGTTTAGGGGTTTAGTGTTTAGGGTTTAGGGTTAGATATTGAGGGTTTAGGGTTAGGTGTTTAGGGTTTAGGGTTTAATACACTCACACTATAATGTCCGCCAGAGGACATACCCTAAACCGTAGACCCTAAACCCTAAACCCTAAACCCTAAACCCTAAACCATAGGGCTCCAAGCCCTCGACTACGCCCCTACTGGAAAGGGCCGCAGCTATGCGCAGCAGCAACAACAGTAGCAACAGCAGCAGCAGCAGTAGCAACGCTGCAGCAGAAGTGACAGCAGCAGCAACAGCAGCAGCAACAGTAGCAGAAGGAAAGCAGCAGAAGCAGCAGCAGCAGCAGGTGGTGAATTGTTGCAGCAGTTTGCTGCTGTTGAGTTTGCGTTTTTGTGTCTGCCTCCCCTCTCTGCTGGCAGTTGCCTCTTATCAGGAAACCCCAAACCCTAAACCCTAAACCCTAAACCCTAAGGCTCAGCCGCAACTCTTCAAAGCCTAAACCCTCAATGTGGCTTCTCAGTTTGCAGCTGCAGCAGCAAAACAAATAAAATTAACGACAAAGCAAAAGGCTTTCACTTCAGCAGCACTAAACCTAAACCAGCATGCTCAACAGCTGCAGCAGCAGGTGCTATTGTTGTTGCTGCTGCGGCTGCTGTTGCTGCTGCGGCTGCTGCTGCTGTTGCTGCTGTACTTGTTGCTGCTTCCGTTTCAACGGGAGGCTGTTCTGTAGCACCGCAGGCAAATCGCTCGGCAGAGCAGCAGCAATAGCAGCAGCAAGTGCAGCAGCAAATTATTCTGCTGCTGCAGCAGATAATAACCCCTATACATCCGACAGCTCCGCAGCAGCAAACGGCAAGAGGTGCCGCAGCAAAAACAGCCGCAGCAGCTTTCCACACGCTATCAAATGAGGATCACGCCCTGGCTCCCCAGCAGCAGCAGCAGCTGCAGCAGCAGCAGCAGCAGTTGGGGCTGTTGTTGCTGCTGCTACTGCCGCTGGTGTACGACTTCGCTGAGAAATCAAAAGGGTTAGCCGACTGAGGTCGGGCCTCATTCTGCTGCTGCTGCTGCTGCTGTCAATACTGCTCCGAGCTATGGCCTGCTGCTGTTGCTGCAGCGTGTGCTGCAGCTGCAGCTGCTGCTGCTGCTGCCGTCGTCGTTTTGCTGCAAGCAGCCACTGCAGCAGCTGCCGCGTCCCCATTGCCTCAGGCTGCAGCAGGTGTATGTACACCCAAAACACCAGCAGCAAAGCAGGAACTGCATGCAGCCTCCGAACAACGCGACCATCCTGAAAGCAGCAGCAGCAGCAGCAGCAGAAGCAGCAGAAGCCCCAAAACTTCATTAGTAATAGCCGCAGCAGCAAGAATACCGAACGACGCTCCTACGCGCCAAACCAGCAGCAGCAGCAGCAACAGCAGCAGCAGCAACAGCAGCAGCAAGACCTACTCTTCGGAAAAAGCACAGCAGCGTAGCGGCAGCAAAAGCAGCAGCTGCTGCTGCTTCTCCTGTCTGCTTTATTGAGCGCATGCAGGCCTCCATGCGGCGGCCAAACAGCAGCCGAGTTAAAGCAATCCGCAGCAGCAACGGGAAAGCAGCAGGATACATCAGCTTACGAGGACCTGCAGCAGCAGCAGCAGCAGCAGCAATAGCAGCAGCAGCAGCAGCAATATCAGCAGCAGCAGCAGCAATAGCAGCAGCAGCAGCAATAGCAGCAGCAGCAGCAGTAACAGCAGCAACAGCGATGACAGCTCTACTTTGGCGGGGAATAGCAACACATCGCCCCTTCTGCATCAGCTGCAGCAGCAGCAACAGCAACAGCAGCAGCAGCAGCAGCAACAGCAGCAGCAGCAGCAGCAAGAGCAGCAGCAGCTGGATAGGAGCTCACCAACTCTTTTCCCAATAGAGAGAACAACAGCAGCTGCATGTCTTTCGTCTTCAGTCATCTCCTTTCGTTCTTGATAAAAAGCAGCAACAGCAGCAGCAGCAGCAGCAGCAGTAGCAGCAGGTGAGAGCGGCTGCGCCAGCCGTACCCACGGAGGATCAGCAGCAGACAGCAGCAGCTGCGAAGATGCTTCTTCATGCGGCTTATGTGGTTCTAGAGGCAGCAGCCAATCTTGCTGGTGCTGCTGCAGTTGTTGCTGCTGTTGCTGCAGTTGTTGTTGCTGCTGCTGCTGCTGCAGCTGCTGCTTCTCGTCTCTATGGAAGTCTTGCTGCCTCAGCATCGGCTGCTTCGTTTCGTGCGTCAGTTGCTTCTGTGGTTGCTGCTGCAGGAGCAGCAGCAGGCGCTGCTTGTGGTGCTGCTTCTGCTGCTGTTGCTTTTGCTGCTGCTGCTTCGTCTGCTGCTGCTGCTGCTGCTGTTTAGACCCGAAGTAGAGTCTGCGTATAGACGCTGGCAAAGCTCTAGAGACACCCCGCTGCAGCAGCAAATGTGCAGCAGCAGGGTGCATGCCTTCTAAGAGAGCTACTGTCTCCGTCTCTGTGGGGTCTCCAAGAGACAGACAAAATATACGAGAAAGATAAAAAGAAGCAGCACCCGACTGCAGCAAACCGCGGATCATGTCTATCAGCCGCTGCTGCTCTAAAGCGCAGCGCAGCTGCTGCGGCAGCCATATACGCAAACCCTGCTGCTGCAGCAGCACCTGCTGATGCTCTACCCAAGACACCAAACAGCAGCAGCAGCATACACACAAGCCAAATAGTACTAAACCGCATGCAGACTGCAGCAGCAGCAGCAGCAATGCTGCTCCAAGCAGCAAACAAACAACACCCCAAATATTCCAAGGAAGCAGCCTGCATACTGCTTTTGCTTTTGCTGCTGCTGCTGCTGCTGCTGCTCTCGCTGCTCGCCTCCAGCCACTCCGCCGGTCCCGAGCAGCAGCAGCAGCAGCAGCAGCAGCAGCAGATGATCTCCTTTCTAATTGCTGCATACGACAACTCCAAATATCATCAACAACAGCCGCCTCCTGAACTGTACAAGCTACTTCTTCTGCTTCCATTGTGTCTGCTGCTGCTGCTGCAGCTGCTGCTGCTGCAGCTGCTGCTGCTGCAGCTGCTGCTGTTGGCTCCTCGTACGGCTTTGCTGCTTGCTCTACAGCTGCTGCTGCTGCTGCTGCTGATTCTTTGGAGGCACAATATGCTGCTCCTCTCTCCTTGTCTGGCGCAGCAGGACAACTGCTGGGCTGCTGCTGCTGTTGCTGCTCCTGCTGCTGTTCTTGTTGTTGTTGTTGCTGCTGCTCCTCGGCAGCTGCTGCTCCAGCGGAGCAGCAAGTGCTGCCAGCGAAGTCCTGAACGGAACCGTAGCTGCTGCTGCAGATGCTGCTGCAGCTGCTGCAGATGCTGCTGCTGCAGTTGCTGCTGCTGTCACACCACGCAGAGCCAAGACGGCAATCGCCTGCGCTGCTGCTGCGTTTATGAGAAGGCACTCTGCTGCTGCTGCTGCTGTCAGCTGCAGTTGCTGCAGCAGCAGCTGCTGCTGCTGGGCCGCGCGGTGATACGACGCGGCGCAGCAGGAGCCTCAGAAGACCGTTGCTGTTGCTGTTGCTGCTGCTGTTGCTGCTGCAGTTGTTGATGCTAGCAAGTCTGCTGCTGATGCTGCCGCAACTGCTGCTCCTCCTGCTGCAGCTGCTGCTGCGCCTCCTGCTGCTGCAGCAACCTGGTCTCTCTGCTGCCAATCTCAAGTGTGGAGAGATGCTTCGTCTGCTGCTTTCCTCCACGTTGCACCCGGACGGTGCTGCTGCTGCTGCTGCTGTTGCTGTTGCTGCTGCTGCTGCTTTTGTTGTTGTTGCTGTTGCTGTTGCTGCTGTGTTGGTGAAGCGCCTCCCGACGGAGCGGAGAGGTGCCCATACACCCCAAATATGAACTAAGCGCCTCCACCGCTGGCTGCTGTCTGCTGCATTAGGTGCTGCTGCAGCAAGACTACCTCTCCTGCTGCTGCTGCAGCTGCTGCTACAGCTGCTGTCGTCGTTCTCTGCGTCCGTCAAGAAGGTTGGAGGCACCGCTGCACTCGGATAACGGGCGTTGGGGCACACCCTAGCCATCGGCTGCTGCTGCTGCTGCGCTGCTGCTGCTGCTGCTGCTCGCGTTGCAGCAGCAGCAGCAGCTGCTTACCCGCACAAAAAAAGGCAAACGAAATGCAGGCCAAGCTGCTGCTGCCGTTGCTGCTGCTCTCACTGCTGCTGCTGCTGCTGCAGCGACGCAGCTGCAGTGGGCGCTACACACTGTTCGGGCTCCTTCAGCAGCAGCAACAACAACAGCAGCAGGCGCAGCAGCACCAACAGTGCTATTAACGAACCAGTATCGTCTACAAATAATGCTTCTCGCTGCTGCTGCTGCTGCTGCTGCTGCTGCTGCTGCTGCTGTTGGCTGCAGGTGTTGAGGGCGTCAGTTGCGTTGTTGCTGCTCCTGATGCCGCCGTAAGGAATTCGTGTGTACTTTTGCTGCTGCTGCTTCTGCTGCCGGATCCGCTGCTGCTGCTGCTGCTGCTGCTGCTGTTGCTAACTACTCGCCTGGGGGGAGCTGCGCAGCCGAAGAGTTGTGATGCATGCTGCAGCAACAGCAACGGCTGCTGCTGCTGCTGCTGCTGTTGCAGCAGACGGGATCAGCGTAGCCAGTTAAAGTGTGCTTTGCTGCTCACACTTGCTGCAGCTCCTGCGGCTGCTGCTGTTGCTGCTGCTGCTGCTGCTGCTGCTGCTGCAGACACTCTGAGGCTGCAGCTAAGAAGACAAGAAAGTTTAGGCTGAAGCTGTTGATGAATTGTGTAGTCATATACTGTACGCATGCTGTTGACAATATGGCAGCTGTTGCTGCTGCTGCATATTCTGCTGCAGCTGGCGCCTCACTGGGGCCCCACAGCGACAGCAGCAGCAACAGCAGCGCGAAGCCTCCGTACAAATACCATCTCATTAATCTTTATATTACTCATTTGCTGCTGAGTATTGCAGTAGCAGCAGCAGCAGGAGCAGCAGCAGCTGCAGCAGCAGCAGCGGCAGCACAGCTGCAGCAGCAGCAGCAGCTGTCCCGCCCTCTACAGATCTGTCACAGGCCCAGAGCACACTGGCGGTTGCTGCAAGAGCAGCAGCTGCAGCAGCAGAAGATCTAGCAGCAACAAAGGACCTCAAAGCAGTAAAACAGCAACAAAGCAGCAGCAACAGCCTCCGCTGCTGCTCCTGCTGCCTCTGCTGCTTCTGTTGCTGCTGCTGCTGCTCTGTCGAAGTAGTCCGCGCCTTCGAGTCTTTATGCCGTGCCCTCCTGCTGCTGCTGCAGCGGCTGCTGCAGCAGCAGCAACCGAAACAGCAGCCTTAAGAGCAGCAGCAGCAGCGGCAGCCGCAGCAGCAGCTGAATGCGTCCCTACAAGAAGGGCCGTCCGATTTGCAGCATCGGCAGCAGCAGCAGCCGCAGCAGCAGCAACACCACCAGCAGCAGCAGCGCAAGGAAGGTCACTGCCGCAGCACAAGCGTGCTGCAGTGCCCGCACCTGCTGCTGCTCCTGCTCCTGCTGCTGCTGCTGCTCATTCTCCTGCTGCTGCTGCTGCACGGAGTTCCCCACAGCAGCAAACTATGTTTCTTTCTCGTTCTAGGCTACCCAACCGCCTTGTAGTTAATCGCATGCTGCTGCTGCAGATGCAGCTACATCCAGCAGCAACAGCAGCAGCAGCACCAACAGCAGCAGGCTCGTTTCCTGCTGCTCGTTGGCAGCGCCGTTCGGTTTCCTTTCTGCACTGGGGACGGGCGGCTGAGAAGCAACAGTCATCAGAAGAACAGCAGCAGCAGCAGCAGCAGCAGCAGCAGGCTACCCACCCAGTTGAGCAACAGTCGAAGGACTCTCAAGACGAAGGCAGCAGCAGCAGCAGCAGCAGCAGCAGCAACTCGGATGTTGCTGCTGAAGGCCCTGTGCATGCAGGAGATGCGCCAGCGCAGCGCCTTGACACTGCAGCAGCAGCTGACGGAAGTGCAGCAGCAGACACCCCAACCAGCAGCAGCAGCAGCAGCAACAACAATGACAGCAGCAGCAGCAGCAGCAGCAGCAGCAGCCGGCGGTGGCCTCAGGCACTGGCAGACCGCCTCTGGTACACCAAGAGTGCTGCAGCACCTGCTGATGCTACAGCAGCAACAGAAGCACCTGCTGCAGCAGCAGCTGCTGCTGGAGACCACGACCGTGGGGACCGTTCTGAAGCAGCCGCAGCAGAAGCAGTACAGGCAGCAGCAGAAGCAGCAGCAGCAGCAGAAGCAGCAGCAGCAGCAGAATCTCCGGCAGCAGCAAAGCTTTGGGAGGGCGAAGGGGCTTCTCTCTATGGGGGAAATAATATGAAGCATAATGCTGCTGCAGCACCAACAGCAGCAGCAGCAGCAGCAGCAACAGCAGCCGCCGCCGCCGCAGCAGCAGCAGCAGCGCCCCACGGTGCTGCAGCGCATGCGTGGAGGCAGCTGCACCAGCTGCATCAGGAGCTGCTGCATTTGCTGCAGCGAGCAGCGGCACTGGAGCGAAGCATCCCGAACAACAGAAAGAAGCCGCTGCTGCTTATTTTAGCTGCCGCAGGTGGGCCCTTGCTGCTGCCACTGCTGCTGCTGCTGCTACTGCTGCTGATCTGCTTTGCTGCTGCTGCTGTGTGTATGCAAGGGCAGTATTTGCGGGAGTTCGCGCAGCTACGAAAAGGGGGCCTCATACTGTGTCCATCTTTTGCTGCTGCTGCTGCTTCTGCTGCTGCCTGTGCTGCTGCTGCTGCTGCTGCAGGTTTGTTGGTGTGTGTGGTGCTGATTGAGAGGTGGGAGAGCGTCAGGCGGCGAGTCGGTTTAGAGGGTGCAGCAGTAATTAAAGAAGGAATGAAGAGTCAGCAGCTGCAGTTCACAGGTCTGTCTCCTCAGCTGTCTCTTCAGCTGTCTCCTCAGCTGTCTCTTCAGCTGTCTCCTCAGCTGTCTCTTCAGCTGTCTCTTCAGCTGTCTCTTCAGCTGTCTCTTCAGCTGTCTCCTCAGCTGTCTCCTCCTCTGTTTATCTGTTTCTTCAGCTGTCTCTTTTTCTGTTTCCCTATCTGTCTCTTCAGCTGTCTCTTTATCTGTCTCTTCAGCTGTCTCTTCAGCTGTCTCTTCAGCTGTCTCTTCAGCTGTCTCTTCAG